GGCACCTGTCGCACTGGAAAAGATGGATGATGCTGCAGAGACCACCGAAGAGACAGCTTGAGGTGCCGGTGCTGGTGCAGGCGACGCGACGACAGCCGCGACAGCAAATATAGCTATGATGGCTGTTGGGGACAGCATGATGGCAGACAGGTCAGCTTTGAAGAGACTGGGAGGGAGGAGGAGGAGGAGGAGGAGGAGGAGGAGGGACAGACCGACGGCGAAATTGGGATTTTAAAGAGAAATGAATGAAGAGAGGTGGATATTATGCTCCTCTTCAATTACACCGGTGACGCGGTGAGGAATCGCGTGACGTCACGCGCTGTGCTGACCTGAACTCTCCAGGTCGCCGTCACGCGTGCATTGGCGATTCGCCCGCTGGGAAAGCGTCGGGATGTCTGCGTAGTGCATACAGTAATAAGTATTGTTGTAGTAAGCGCAGAGAGATAGTAATTGTACACTTACTAGAATATTAACAGCGACTAGTTGATTTACGAATTCTTCTAAGGACTTACATACCTTCACATTGTTCCCATGGCGGGCTTGCCTTGCATGAGAGTCGAGGTTGAGGCTGAGAGCGTGGCGGCGGGACTGCGACAATCAGTGCGGCGCCACCAAGCTTGCCACGTGGCTTTAATAGAATAGCCGCCGCCTGGACCACCAAGCAGCGTCTGCGACAAACTGTTTGCGGTCGTCGTCGTCGTGCTCCCTTTTGATGCGACTTTGTCCCCTCTCGACAGCGACAGCGACTGCCTCTGCCGTCCGCCCGAGCAGCGAGGCGCCTCCATCTTCTCCCTTGCTGACCGACCGTCATTCGCTCGTTTGAAAACATTTTTTGACGAAAATCCCCCAACACTCTCACATTTTTTGTTCATCTGCCACCAGCGAACGTCGCTTCTCGTCGACCGACCAGACGCAACAAAGGGATCGACAGCTTTGTCTCGCACTCCCATAACGATGGACCACATACACCTTGCTGCGATTGCGACTCCCCTTCCATCATCTCCGCCTCCAAAGAACAAGGAGCTTCCGGAACTAGTCAGCACGAACACCGACGACCTCACTACCAGAAAGATGGAGAATGCCAACACCGACAACAGCGGTAGCACAGATAAAGCAGGGAACACCGTTCAGAACTCGTCAGATCCCCTCCAAACAGAGCTTAAAACACAGGAGCCATCTCCTTCCTCTGAAACGTCGTCTTCCTCATCGGCGACATCTACATCCACCATGCCTCCCCCCAGCTCGTCTACTCGTACCTCTCTCACAGATGACTCATCTCACTCACAACTAACCTCGTTCTCATCATCCACAACTGTCATCAAGAAAGGCATCCTCCTCATTCGTCCCTCTCCCATATCCCGTAGCGCCTCTTCACCTCCTTCCGTCTCCTCTCACACATCCTCCTCAACCACAAATGCACCCACAGCAACCTCAGTCTCAACACCACCGACCCCCTCGATCACCTTCGCCCCCCTCCCAACTCCAGACCCTCGCCGTCGAACCTCCTCTGTCCAACTAGGTGTCGCCGCTCGCTCTCAGATGCTCCGTGCCCGCCGTATGCGTCTCATAGCCATGGGTGGCGTGGAAGGATACAACCCAAACGGCGGTAATGAAGGAAAGGGAGGCTTGATCAGCGAGATGGGTGGGATGCTTGGGGGCCCGATACCTGGGTTGGATGGGTACCATGGAATGCAACATGTCCCTGGGGAAGTACAGTATGCGATGATGAGAGAAGGAGAAGGGTATCCTCGTGGGATGAGAGGAGGACAACAGAGGAAAGTGTATGCGTGGGCGGATGACGAGGAAGATGAGTTTGCGCATCCTAATTGTACGCCCAGTACAAGCTCTAGGAAACCTAGTACCGCGAAGTTTGGGGTGGGGTCCGGAGGAAATGGGAATGGGGATGAAGACGAGGAAGATGCATTTGTGGCGCTCGGACGGTTGGTACGTGGTGGTGCGAAGTCGTTGTGGAGGAGTTTATCGGTGGGGAATTTGAGAGAGAAGGAGAAGCGGGCAGGTGAGGGTGAAACCCACAAGCAGAAGGAGAAGGAGAGCGAGAAGATGGAGGAGAATACTAGGAACCTCGGTGGGTCGGATTGTGGTCATGCGAGCGCCGAGGACGTTAGCGAGCGTGCAAGTAAACCTATGGCGAGGAGAGCTGCTACAGAGCCTCAATCACAGAAGTCGGCGTCATCGCCTGATCTCGTACAAACGGAGCAAAGACAGGAAAGCGTAACGGTACGCGTATTGGTGAACGAGCCTAAACACTTATTCGAGGCCAAGGGTTCACCGCCGCTATCTTCTTCTCCAACGTCTACTCCCACTGCTCAACAATTCCACCCTCACTCTTCCTCTACATCATCTCAAACATCTCATTCTGAAAAACAGCAGATCGAGCAGATCGAAAAAGAAGACCACTCGGAACAGGATGGATACGATGTCGCCGACGCACAAGAAGTCGAAGATGACGAGGAGGAAGAGGAAGAAGAAGGGAAGGTTTGGGTAGAGACAGTGGACGATAATGCTTTACGGAGAAGGATCGAGAGGGCGCAGAATGGTGGTTTTGGAGGCACCGCGGCTAAAGAAGAGCAGAAGGTGAAGAGTGGTTTGGGGAGGTTTCCGAGTTTGAGGATCTCTGGGAGAAGTGGAAGGAGGGATAGGGTGGATGTTGCCGTGAGATGAGACGGGAGGGCACAAGAGGAGCTGGAGGGGCGAGAGAGAAGGCTTGGATGACAAGAGATTCTTCCGGGGGTAAGGAGAAGCGCAATTCAAGGTGCGGATTGAGACTCTTTGTTGTCGGAGTCATTGATCGTCTGATTTGTGCACTTTTGATATATATAGTTCATTCACCTACTGGTCATCCGTCACAAATCATCCTCTGTCTGTTACCTTGGAGCTACCTACGCACAATATTGGAGCTCTTATGAGTACCTTACAACAAGGCGCAAAGAATAACGATCTGTCAGCGGCCGATTCGAATATTGCAAGCCTTGCAACATCACATGATGGATACCTTCCCCCTACGCGCATCCCTTTGCTTCCTCATCCGTTCATGCAGCAGCGTACAAATATATTTATTCTTGGTCACTATTAGCTCACTTTCACACTCCGGCAGGACCCCCTTCATCATTTTCCTACCCATCCTTCGTATCCCAAATATTTCGTATTTCTCCTTTGTCTACATTCATGCACATACAATTTGGGCATTTTTTGGAGTCTTCTTTCCTTCTTTCTCCTCTCTCCAATTCACCTGCGCACCTCTCTCTCCCGCTCTCTGAATACTGCTATCATCTTCCTGTCTATACGCTCTTATGTCGTCGAGTTGCATTCGCAAGTCTCATCCATTCGTTTATCCAGTAACGGCGTTCGCCTAGAGCTCTCTCGCTCACATACAAGCATATTTAGTAACCAGAATTCGAACTTACATAACGTTATACTAGCCCAAGACAATTAATTTATTGCAAGCGAACTGATATGTAGTGGCTGTTGTGGGCAATGTGTTCAAACGATATTATAGATTGGATCAGGATGCAAGCAACAGTGGGTATTACATTCCAGAGTAAGTAAGGAGATGATATCAGCAAGGATAGCACAAAGCATTGTTCGTAGTGAACCGGCATATACAGAAGAGTAAATCAACGTTCAACACAAACCACTTTGCCGTCCTACGCATCCTCTTCAGCAAAAGGCTCCCGCTCCTCGTCTAACAGAATCGCCTGTCTCCCTCTGCGAATCTTCGCTACAACGGCAACTACACAGCTACCAACCCAAAGCGAAGCATGCACAGCAATTGCCAACACCATCCACCGCAAGATAGGGACGTTCCACTGCTGGACAAACACAGCCCACAAATACCACGTAATCACAACACTCGCAGGGAGGTCTCCCTCGGGTGAGGAGAACGCATACGCAGTTGCTGTACATCCCAAGAATATGAGAGCGAGGATGACAAACACGCACGTCCATACGCCTGCGCGGTACTCGGATGCGTCGACGCCAAAGGCGGTGAACGCGGAGAGGACAACGAGGGCGGTGGCCCAGCCGTGCCAGAGGGAGAAGGGGAGGTGGACGCAGAGTTCGTCCCAGGTGTTGGAAGGTTCGTGGTGTTTCTTGACGATGTAGTAGATGTGTGAGATGACGGAGGAGACGAAGAGGGAGAGGATGAACGCTATAGAGAATTGAATGTCGTAAATCCCGATGAGTTGGTTGTTAGGTATTTCAATGATATGGTACATACCGGTGATGAGGTATCCTCTAGTCCATGCATGAACGTACAGCGCGTTTAGCACTGCAACAAAGGGGAAACGCCATGAGATGCCTTCGATAATTGTGCGGTGGCCGTTCTCAGTGAATTGATAGACTATCGGTCCAAGTAGAAGAAAATGGATAAGAGACCTATTGATATGATTGACACTGACATCTTTCGAGCATGTACACCCAACGTACCAGATAAGAAAAGACCATGGGGCCGGGGTGATGTAGGTCAACTTTCCGCCAACGCTGTCGTAGAAAGATATGGAACGAATATTGGATCCCAAGAATACAAAGTACACAACTATGTTTGCGAGCTGTTGGGTCGATGAACGTACGTGTTAGTCCTGGCATTGTTCAGGTAGTATATGATATTACTTACCTTGAGAATAATTCCATCCTTCCAGCTGTATCCCATAACCTCCGAACGCGAAAGCTGCTGAATTAGTTATTGGTTTCTTTGCACGTAGTTCAGACTACTATTGAGAGTCTAGGGAGTTCTCACTCGATATAAGTATACTGACCTGTGCTGGCCGCACTTGCCCAAGCCTAGCTTGACGCATGAGGCGACAACGAACACTGATTTTATGATTACGTGGTTTCCATTTAAATCAGACCAACACTGATCATATCCATAGGACTTTGGCCTTTCGTTTGCCTTATTTCGTTTGCTGTAACAAAGGTATTACGGTACCTACTAAGGTATCCAAAGATCTTTCACAAGTTAGATGAAAAGAGAGAAAAAAATATGGACACTGTGGGAGTTGAACCCACGACCTCACGCAGTCATCAGTCACTACGCAACTGAATGCGAAGCGTGCGCGCTACCAACTGTGCCAAGTGCCCGTTGAAGAAGTTGACGCTTATAGACATGTATCGGCAACTCCAGCACCGAAAACGTCCCATGTCAGTGGAACCAAGTGCATGAAGCCTCTGGTTGCAGGATAATTCCACAGTATACACGCAAGAACATACAATTGGTCTGTTCTCGTACATTTCGATTAAGACAAACAATTAGAGTCTCACGACGACATCCCACCCGCATTCTGTGCTTGCGACACACATAGCACGAACTGAGTCCGAGACGAACCTTTGACATCCCGAGGTCCATCTCGGATATCTGCTTGATCATGATCCAGCATACCCTCTCCCAGCGATAGGAATGATTGTGCCTCGCACTTCTTCCCATCTGCGCTCGGAGACACCGCAAATTCCATCGACCTTGCCATAGAGATCGCACCCCGGATGGGACTCTTCTTGGGATAGTCCGGCGAGAAGTTGACATACTCATCAAGGTCGAATACGGCCGAAGAAGGGCTGGGAGTGAGCGTGACGTAGGACATGAGCGTAGCTGGAAACGGCGTATCGTCGGTAGAGAATACGTCATCGAGAATGGCTGCGGCGTCATGTAGTAGTTGGTTCGAAGAGCGAGAGTTTTCAGAAAGCAAACTGTCCGAATTGAGACATAAGGCCTCAGGTTCCTCGTAGTCTGCATAGGTAGGATCGAACGGCACCGAAGATGGGGACAGAATGAAGATATCCGGGATGTTTGTAAGTTCAGGTGATGTCACCGGTGTTGGCGGGTACTCCGACACTAAGGGTGACGACGAGGGCGAGGGTGCTGCAGATCTGCTACGGGAGGTTCGTAGGCCCGTATCGTCCTCATTTTCTGCCTGTATCTGGAATGGTATCTCCCTACGAAGGTCATAGACGGTTAGACCGCAAGCCAAAGATGCATACTATGGAAAACAAACTCACGGCGACGATCTGTCTTCGAAATTCTCGTCCTCAGAGGAACTCACACTATCCTGAGAACTGCCCTCCAATAGTTCTTGTTCGCCATGGGGTGCAGTGACGTGCTCGGTGACCTCAAGTTGGTCAACAGCACAAGACTCCTGAACCGGCAACACTGTCTCCACCATAGAAGACATCTCCAACCCAGTCGCCAGAGGCTTCGCGATAGCCTTAACGAAGGACGAGTTCTGCAATGCCGACTCCTTCAAGTAGTTTACTCTGTCCAATTCAATTGCAACTTCCAACGCAGCTTGGAGGTGCTTCAAACCCAACTGATCAGCCATTGAAGGAACCCCGGGGACAGAAGCAGGAACGTCGTTGATAATAGACTCCGCGTGGGTGCTTTCGAGAGGCTCGACTTGACTCGGACGTGGTGACGTCCTTGCGAGTGGATACGGCTGGTGTCTATGTTCGCCTCGAGAGTTGCTAATATTGGCGCGAGATCTTTCGGAGCTGTTACTTTCAAGCCCACCGTCGGACCCTAAGATGGGAGTTCTAGGTTTGCCTCGGGTTGATGGGCTTCCGTCATATTCGCACTCGAAACCTCGATTCTGGCATCGAGTGCACGGAAATCCCCCACAACACTGGGGGAAAAGTGATAACGATCATTTAGCCAAGCTCCAAGCAGAAATAAGGGGTTAACATACCTTTGTTTTCCGCTTGCGGCATTTATTGCACGCCTTCGCACTCCTCTGGCGAAGCATAGGAGCGTACTGCATATTGGCCTGTTGTGTGGTCCAAGCGACGTACGGCTCCGATCGATTCGTAGAGGAAATCTGGTTGTAGTACAAGAATTGAGCGGGGCGCACGTTCACGAGCGGCTCAGCAGGCGCGGAATAATACGACTCTGGGGCTACAGGTGTCGTATAACCAGCTGAGGCCATATGTTGGGCATACATAGGTAATAGTGGGTGTTCGCGCTGTGGTAAGGATGTAGGTAGAGCAGTATTGATGTAGTATGGTGCGGCTGACGGTATCTGGTGAGTATTGTTGCTGGGATCGCTCGGCACGTGAACGAATCCTAGAGGTGGGTCTTGCAGAGACGGAAACGGTACGGAGTGGTGTCCTGTGCTTCTTTCATGCATAAGTTGTGCTTGCTGTGACTGCAGAATTGTGGCTCGAAGTAGATTTAAGTCTATTGTGACAGCATCCCCATGACCAGGGACAGAGATCTTGACTGGGCTTGCTAGAGGAGGTGCAGAGGCTACGTCAGAGGTATTTGTCGCGCCAAGTGTCGGTGTTGCCATTATACTGTGTATGTCAGAAACTGAAGATGGAGGTGAGTGTGGTGCACGGAACGAAAGTCAGCGATTCAAAGACAGACTACAAAGGTGTCCCCTAGAGGCGAACCTCTGTAGGCTGACTAGGTTCATGATCGGTCTTGATCACAATCCGATCAACAATTATCACTTGCGGTAGTACGATAGTAACAGTCCAGAAATAAACAGGCCAGAGCCCCACAACTTGGTGTCTCAATCCTGTTTGAACTTAAATACTTAGTAAAATCCAGCGTTCATGCTCTAAAAGTACATCGTCCCTAAGAGATATAACAATTAATATGTGATGTCTAATAATGGAAGCAGCGGCAATTACATGCCTATATATCCAACGCGAGCTTAGGTGTGGAGGTGAAATAGCCTCACGACCTTCCCTTGAACTCTTCGTTGAACTCTCTGCCTATAAGCATCCGGCGAATTTCCTGTGTTCCTGCACCTACTGTGTAGAGACGAGAGTCTCTCAATATACGGTTTACGGGATAATCTGAAAACGGCACTTTAGTCGAACGTGCGAGAATGTAGAGAAAGATAGTACCGTTAATATATCCATTTCCTCCGAGACACTGCATAGCTTCCAGGGCTACCTCAACAGCTCTATCCGAGGAGTACAGAATGACTCCAGCGCAATCCTAACGGAGAAAAAGATGGTTCTAAACTCTCCGAATGTGTAGCCCAAAGCCCGAAGGTAAACCTACTCTGCGGCTAACTTTCCCATCATCGCAAGCGCGAGCAACAGCGTACACATACGACCGTGCCGCATTCATCTTGGTATACATGTCCGCAATCTTGCCTAAACGAGATTGAATAAATTGTATAGATACCAAATTTAAAGGAAAGAAGCGTACCCTGCATAAGTTGGAATGTACCCACTGGGACCCCAAACTGCTTCCTGTCATGAACATATTCCACAGCATAGTCGAAAGCTACAAGGATCAATGAGATACATATTCGACAAACATATGAATACCTACCAGCTTGCATCAAACCAAGTGGACCACCGCTTAGAACAAGACGTTCCAAGTCAAGTCCAGACATTAACACTCCTGCACCCTTGTTCAAGGGACCGAGGACATTCTCTGAGTCAGAGTTAGGATACTGCATATGTTTACACTAATGGGAGAGCACTTGCCTTCTGGCACGAAACAATCTTCAAAGACTAGCTCGCATGTATCACTCCCGCGCATACCAAACTTGTCAAGCTTCTGGTGTGTTGAGAAACCGGGGAACCCCTTCTCAATTATGAATGCAGTAATTCCCTTGGAGCCTTTCTCTGGCTCAGTCTTTGCGTATACTACTAGTGTAGACGCAGTAGGGCCATTCGTTATCCTGAAGGCTGGTATAAACAGAATCCTCCATACATTCTCAGAAAAAATACGTACCAGAACTTATTACCATTCAATCTATAGCCGCCATCTACTTTGTCTGCGCGAAGCTTCATGCTGACTACATCGCTTCCGCTCCCGGGTTCACTCATTGCGAGACTTCCCACTTTCTTCCCTGATATGAGGTCCGGAAGGTATTTCTTCTTCTGATCATCTGTACCCCATCGGTGTATCTGAGAACAGAGGTGAGACTGGTAGTACTGTGTAGATGGCATATTGCTCGCACCTGGTTGACGCACAAGTTTGAATGAGCGCCATAGGACAATGCTACAGAGCCAGATGCTCGTGAAAGCTCTTCCATGGCGAGGGTGTGGTTAAAGTACCCGAGTGAGAGACCTCCGTACTCAGGAGACACCGTTATACCGAGCAGCCCCATGTCCCCCATTTTCTCCCAGAGGTCCTATGCATAGCATTAACTTGACAGAATCAATCATGAAATGAGCACGTACGGAAGGAAAGTTGTTCGTCTTGTCAATTTCGGCAGCGCGCGGTGCCACCTCTTTCTGAGCGAACTCTGTGACAGCGTTTCGAAACTAGACAAGCGTTTAGAAAGAGCCCCAAAGGTCTGTTAAATACTCCAAAAGAAAGAGGTTAAGATGATAGCCTACCTCGGCTTGTTCCTCTGTCAAGCCAGCAACATCACTGTTGTAGAACGAGACGTGCCGACGTCCAATTTGGACAGTGTTATTCGGCCGCAGAGCTGGCTGTGTCCTACGAAGTGATGAACGAGCAAGAAAGCGAATGGCCGACATTGTCAGTGGTGTGGTATGGGATGAGATGGTGGTGTGTAGGAAGGAGTGAAACTGGCAGTGTCTCCTTCGTCGTCGCAGTGGCCGCTTACTAGAGCCGACCGAGCGCCCTTCCCCGCATTTTCATGGGCAACGTCACTGGAGAAAGAGACCTGATGGACTTGACCGCATCACCCGCCCCGGTGTCCCGACGTCGTTCAAGCTTGATTCCGAGCTCGTCCGTCGACGGTCGTTGTCCAAAATTGTTCGGGAGACAACGTCCTCTTCATAAAACTCAAGCTGCAGAGTAATGCTCGTAGAAATGTGAAAAGTATCGATAGGAGTACACCCCGAGTTCCTGATACAGCATGGTATGGCTTGCTGAAGTAAATCGCTCCAGGTCGGAGGAAGATGCTTGGATCCTTGCGAATCCACTCAACGTGAGTAGGTAATTTTCTGAAGAATTTTAATGGAATATTTTAACACCTCTCTCTGAGACATAGGTCAAATTTTGCGAGAGCGAATTCCCCTGACATAATTCCAGGTTAACTTCACTGCTGGCATTGGCGGGTTCTTGACTCGAGTCGAAACACTGTTGCGTAGTGAGCACTCAGCCATACAGATAGCTATAACAGACTAGTAGCCTGTAAGTATTAGCTGTGTTG